GGGGAGTGATTTTGTCCCTCCAGGGTATTGGCGATGTCTGGAGATATTTTTGTTTGTCCTACCTGGTGTGTGTGTGTGTGTGTGTGTGTGTGTGTTTGTGTGTACATACTAATGGCATCTATAGGCCAGAGATGCTAGTGAACATCCTATAATGCATGGGATGGTTCCTCCCCAACAAATAATGATCCAGCCCCAAATGTCTATAGTAGTGAGTGCTCTTCAGGGTCGACAGGAATGCAGGGAGATATCGAAAGCACTGAGAAGCCCATAGAAGTGTAGAATTTTGGAGCTGAAACAGACCTCTGTTCTCTGAGAATACTTAGTCCACCCCCCACAGATAGGAGCCCCCAGTGACTATTGAATTCTACCCTCCCCCTCCTTTAGCTTACAGAAACAGGTGGGAGGGTTGTGAAACCTACAGGCTATTAGTTCTGTGGGTCCCTGGGTTTCTAAGCCCAGATGGTAATTAGGTTTCGTGTCAATCAGAGAAAATGAAATTCTATGATCAAACCAGATGCCACAGTCCATACCCAGACTTGACATACTGTTAGATAAATTTGATGCTAACAGAATCATCTAACTCTTGATTTGGGAGAAGGTTTGTGGCAACTCTGAAGAGCTAAATTCACAACAACATTTGTAGGACCAGATGGACATATGAGCTTTAATGCTTATCCCTCTGGTCTGGTGGGCACACCAGCCTCTTCCCAGAGATGGGTTAATGGCCTAGTAAGTGAGCTGGACACATTTTCGCAGTCCGTGTTGATGACATGGCTATATTAAGCCAGAATGTACACGAGCATCTGGAGTCTTGGGTTGGTGCCCACTTGCCCTGTAAAGCTGGGAGACTGTGCAAAGGGCCATTTAAGTATCTGGGATCAAAGAGTAGGGTACAAAGTGAGATCCAGGCACAGGAGTCCATTGGAGGGCAAGAAGGAGCTTATGGAGATGGTTGGGTTTCTGCCACTAAAGAGTCAAACCACTTTTGACCAAGAAACACTTGGGATCTTTTTGCTCTAGGAGGTCCTTTCCTTTTCTTTCTTTCTTTCTTTCTTTCTTTCTTTCTTTCTTTCTTTCTTTCTTTCTTTCTTTCTTTCTTTCTTTCTTTCTTTCTCTCTTTCTTTCTTTCTCTCTTTCTTTCTTTCTCTCTTTCTTTCTTTCTCTCTTTCTTTCTTTCTCTCTTTCTTTCTTTCTCTCTTTCTTTCTTTCTCTCTTTCTTTCTTTCTCCCTTTCCTTTCCTTTCCTTTCCTTTCCTTTCCTTTTCTTTTCTTTTCTTTTCTTTTCTTTTCTTTTCTTTTCTTTTCTTTTCTTTTCTTTTCTTTTTTTTGAGAGGGAGACAGAAAGACAAAAAGTGAGAAATTACCCCCCCGGGGGGTGGCGGGGGGATGGCCACACTGTAATCACTTCTCCATTCTCCTCTCGGGATCTTGGGCACACACGCACATGCGCCCAGTGTGAGTTCAAGCCACCGGGTCTGGGACTCGAACCACGGTCGACTACATGGGAGTCCAACGACATAGCCATTATGTTAACTGCTGGTCCCAAGAGGTCCTTTCCTGCTAGTAGATCTTAGGGATAACCTGGCGGGGAGGGCTAGCAGGTGAACAGCACAGAGAAAATACATACAAGGAACTTCTCTGGCAAATCAGCTACTAGGAGTTTTTATTTAATGATGCTAGAAAGAGCTACCAGAGGATAGCTTCTTTTGCAATAGAATTTTGGGAAGTTTTATATAAAATGTCCCAGACTCTTCCTTGGTGGGTGGTTGCCTTATTCTTTGTCTCTAAAACAACTCAGTAACATAAACTTTTTTCTACTTGCGCTGATGGGTAAGAATCATTTACAATTATATGAAAGTCTAGGCTATCGCAATGGACTGGGGTATGTGAGTCATTTACTAACCAAAATTATAGTCTGCTAGAAAGCCAGCAATACCTGGACCATCTACAAGAAATACAAATTAAAAAAACAAACAAACAAAAAAACCCCAAAACTTTGATAAAGCCAGAGGATCCTGGGACTAGCTCAGAATTACAGATTTTGGGATTGGGGAAGCCACCTTTGCTGAGATGTGAGTCTCCCCATCATTCACAGCGTGGGCATACTCAAGACTCAAGGGGTGCTGGAATTAGAAATAGGATGTGGTTGCCTATGTTCTAGCTCTGTCAACAAACTTAAAATAAGTTAAAAATGAATACAAACTAGAAACAAAAACAAGTAGGCAGCTAGGTCCTTGGGGGCAGCAGGCATCGTGGAGGGTTTATCTCTGATTTGTGAGGCTTTTACAGGTTCACTCTCTAACTTGTTTTAAAGAAATAAAGCGAAGAGTGTCTTCTGGACCCCAGAGATTTAGGGTGCTGTGGAGAGATGCGAACGTGCCCTAGATGTTTGGCTGTCTCTGTAACAGTTCTATAGAGACGACAGCACACGAGCCTGTCTGGAAGACTAACAGTCCCAGCACCTTGCAGCTTCCACGACATAGGTTTACTGAGCACTGCTCTGGGCCACACGCTGTGTAATGTGCTGGGATACCTGGATGGGTCAGCAGAGGAAGCTCACACCTGACCGTGAGACCTGCAGATGCAAATGAATCAGACTGCAGAGGAGGGAAGGCCTGACTATTGGGAGCAGGTGGAGAATCAGCAAAACGTTCTCTTACTGGGTGAAACTTAATCTGGGCTTGGACATGTGAGGGGGGTTTATTCAATGGGGGAGAATGAGGAGACGTGAGTGAGACAGCTGGGCAGGAAGGGAAGGTGGACTTTCCTGGGAGCTATGGACAGTGATTAGGATCAGCATCCAGAACCCAGAAAAGTTGGGAGCGTACCTTTGAGAGTTACTGTGGCCTCAGGAGGGCTGAAGGTCTGCGATGAGAGGGTGGGGTTTTAGAGGGAGAGCAGACAGGTTGGGAAGAAGCAGAGACTCTTGGCAGAGAGAGGAACAGGAACCAACGTAGGAGGCAGGCAAAGTAGTCAGAGGTGGGGGGGAGAATGAGGCGAGTGAATCCAGGGAGGGCGGGCATTCCTAAAGGAGGGCATGACAGGCAGCGTAGGGGCCCAGAGTCAAACAGGACGGGTAACAGGAACGAACTTTGAATGAGTTATGTGGGGATGCTCTTCATGAGCACATAGCTGTTTCTGGTCAGAAAACAGGCTTGAGGGGCTGGACAGTGCCACAGCTGTAATATAACGGACCCACATAGGAAGGGCCTGGGTTCGCATCCCGAGACTTCTCTGTGTCTACCAGGCATAAGCATGCATGTCCGTAATCTGGGCCGGCTGAGGCTGGGGGTGCATTGTGGCATGAAGCTATGTTAGGAGTGTCTTTCCCTCTCTTTCTCTCACAGAAGAAATAAATGAATAAACTAACAACAACAGACTGGGCCAGCCCGTGGCCTAGTGATTAAGGCAGCTGGATCCAACATGGCCTACTGCATTGCTTGAATCCCAGACCCAACAGCTTAAGGAATTTGCTGGGCAGGCCAACAGGTAGCATGGAAGTTAAGGCTCTGGATTCCACATGGCTGACTTCACAGTTCAAATCCCAGACCTAGCAGCTTAAAAATCACGCCAGGTATGTGTGTGTGCGTATCCAAAATTGCGAGAAGAGAATGGAGGAGAAGGGATTGTGTGGTGGCCTCTGCCCTGGGAGGAGGGTGATTTCTTAACCTCTGTCTCTCTCTGGCAAGGACATGTGCCTTATAGCAAAAACAAGACAAAACCCCCCCAAAAAAAGAAAAGAAGGAAAAGAAAAAGAAAAATATATACACTTGCATGCCCAAAATCCTGGGAGGAGGGAGAGGTGGAGGAGAAGGGATTATGATGTGACCATTCCCTATGGGGGGGGGGTGCTTTCTCACTCCTTCCCATCCCTCTCCAGCAAGTGCAGGCACCCTCTAGCAAATTGCCTGCCCCCCCCCCAAAAAAAAAGACCACAAAAAATTTGGGGAAAAACAAAACAACAAAACAAAAAGTAGGCTTAAACATGACTGAACCAGGTGAACCAGGCTTATAATTGAAGAGCTTGGAGCTTGGGTCTGCCTGGGCTGTGTTTGCTCATCCACGGCCTGGAACTGAAAAGATGCCATGGTGCATTAGTCCAACATGAGTTTTTGCTTCTACATTTGTACATTTGCCTGACAGAACAGTAGTTACTCCTGGTTGTTTTGCAAGGTTGAGAGGTTCCAAACGTGGCATCCTTTGAAAGAAATTTATTTGAGTACAAAGGAAAAAAATAATCGAGTGCTCCTGGGCTTAATAAGAGAGGATTAACTATTAGGATTGAAATTAATTAGTTGAGAAAGTCATTTATTTAATGAATAAAAAATTTAACACTGGATTTGCACCCCAAATTGGAAATTGAAAACACAAGAGCGTATTTTGGTATCAATTTGCAATTCCTTCTCCAATTTCTTTTCAGGATTTCCTGTAGAAATGTGACTGACACTGTTCGCAGGGTACCTCTTAAGCCACGTAGGATCTGGGCCTGCGACTGCACGGCGCGCCTTGTGGGACCCTGGTCCTTAACCCCCACACCACCAGCTGGCCCCTCAGGTATTGTTTTAAGGCATAAGTAATCTATGAATTTTTAAGAGCTCTAACAGCTAACTTTTTTTTTTGTTGTTGTTGTTTTAAATGTCATACTTTCTTATCTACATTTCATTGGTATACTTCTAGGAAAGATGATTGCAATTTTCTTTTAAAAACTTTCCTGAATTTGCCAAATTTTCTAAAATGAGGCTGCAATGTATTGGTGCTGGCAGCAACATGGCAGTGTAGGCTTTATTTGAAGGTATAAAAGTGGACAGATCAGACTTCCCTGTTGGAGATGCGGCTCAAGTCCACATCTGTTTCCTACTGGTCACATGACGCTGGGCGAGTCCCATGACCATGGAGAGAGGCTGTGATTTCTCACTCAGAGGCTGCTCTGGAGGGGCGGTGGGGAGAGGGATGCAGAAAGGACTAGGGAAGAGGGTGGCCTCTCCTGCCCCGGGGACCCACCTCCAGGTTGAAGCTGTCCAGGGCTGGGCGGAGCTTCTCCCGGCAGGCCAGGCAGTCCCTTTGACAACTGCTGAACACCCCTGGGAAGAGGCTGAGTAGCAGGAGGTCGCAAAGCAGGACTTTCATGGTGCAGGAGCAGGAAGCAGGATGCTAGAACACACACAAGGGTGGGTGGTAATTAGTACTGAGAAGGGGCCAGTCAGGGCCGAGACCCCAACCAGAGGATGCAGGAAAGATGCTCCTCTGTGGACACAGCGCTAGGGCCTGAGCTCACCTCCCAGAAGGGAGTGGATTGTCATGAACACGGGCAACCTTGTCCTGTCACCCAGGCCTCGTGTTCATGTATGGGCCAGTGTCTGGCTTCCTGGGGAGAGAACCCCTGTGATTCCTGCGTCCAGTTTGCTTCAACACTGCTTCTGGGAACAGCTGTGAGGTGGCAGGGCAGCTTTCCTGGAAGCAGAAGGCATCACTTGTAGCTTATGAATATGTGACCTGGTCAGCCAACCCCTCCACACCTCCATTTCCACAGCCAGGAGGGGAGTGGTGGTACCTGCCTGTCACAGGCCCGTGGTAAAGATAAAATGAGATCTGTAAGGACAGTTTTGCGAAGTGCAAGATGAGTAACATTTAAGATTTATCAATGACCTGCCCATGTGCTTTACCTTACCCTTCCAACCCTCCCTGCCTTAGCCAGGAATACCCCACATCCCCAAATCCTTCCTCCCAGGAAGCTTTTGCAGGTCCTTGTCTGTTTCCCCTGCTAGATGTGAGCTATGGCATGGTCTGAATTTTTCCGTCCATCTGAAATGCACACATTGAAATCCTAACTCCCAAAATGATCGAATTGAAGGTGGGGCTTAGGGGAGGTGAACAGCTCATGAAGATAGAGCCCTAAAAGAGATCCGAGAGAGCTCCCCCATCTATCCCACCATGTAAGGACAGAGAGGGAAGGCACCATCTTTGAACCAGGAAACGACCCCCACTAGATGTTTAACTTGATGGCATTTCGATCTAGAATTTCCCAGCCTCCAGAACTGAGAGAAATAAGCTTCTGTTGTTTATGAGACACTGAGTCTAGGGTATTTTGTTATAGCAGCCCACAAGGACTGAGAGAGCTGGCTTCCTGACAAGCACAGGGCTTGGCGTGCAGAATTCTTTATTGAAAAATGATCATGGGCCATGGTGGTTAAGGTGGTAGATCCTACATGGCTGACTGTGTGGTTCGAGTTCTGGACCCTTCAGCTTGAAAAACACGCCTGGTGAGTGTTTGTGTGTGTCCGAAATCCTGAGAGGAGAATGGAAGAGAATCAATTATAGTGTGGCTGTACATCCTGGGGGTGATCTCTTGTTTTTCTTCTATGTCTCTATCCTGTGAATGCACATGTACTATAGCAAAAAGCAACAACAAAAATAAAACTAAAAAATAAAAAAAGGAACTATACTAAGATAGTAGCTTTAATTATTAGTTAGCCTAATAGTTATAATCTTAACTCAGAATGTTTGAAAAATGTGTAGTTTCTCTATTTCTCTCTTTTTTTTTTAAAGAGAGATTTTTGCTATCAGGTGCATGTGCTCGCTGGAAAGACAGAGAGACGGAAAGCTAGAAATCACCCCTTGGGGGGATGGTCATGTGCAAATCCTTTCCTCCATTCTCCTCTTGGGATTTTGGGTGCGCACACACGCTGGTGTGAGTTTTAAGCTGCCTAGTCCGGGACTCGAACCGCGGTTGACTTTGACTATGTGGGAGTCCAGTGACGTAACCATTATGCCATCTGCTGGTCTCCCTATTCCTCTTTAAAATCTATCCTTTGATCAAGCCTCTTGAATCAGAAAGCTGTTTCCTTGGACTGCATTCTTTTGGGTCACTGAAGAACCATCTTGGAAGATTAGAGCGAAAGGGGAACAAGGAACTTTCTGGACGTGTAAATGAAATACAGGAGCTATACACTTGCCCCAAACCATTGATTTATGTATTTAAATTCTGTGCATTTCATTGTTTTTTTTTTTTTTTTTAGTGAGAGATTTTTGCTATAGGATGCATGTGCTTGCCGGAGAGACAGAGACACAGAGAGACAGAAAACAAGAAATCACCCCCCCAGGGGGATGGCCATGCTGCAGTCCCTGCTCCTCTGTTCTCCTCTAGGAATTTTGGGCATGCACACATGCCTCACTTGAGTTTCAAGCCTCTGGGTCTGGAACTGGAACCCTGGTTGGCCATGTGGGAGTCCAGTGATGTAACCATTCCGCTATCTGCTGGTCCCTGAATGTAACTTTTCAGTTAATAAGGAGTTCAGAGTAGAAACATGAAAATAATTGCCTTTATTGCTTTTCCATCAGACTGTACTGAGAAAATGCACAAGGCCTTGCTATTCAAATGCAGTCTGCACACCAGCTGGACTCTTGTCAGAAATGCAGACTCTCAGGCCCCACCCCAGAACCGCTGAGTCAGGATCTGTGATTTGAGCAAGTTTCCCAGGAGATTCACATGCCTGCCAAAGTTTGAGACGTACAGCGTGAGAAGCTTGTGAAATGGAGTGAAAGGGTGGGAGAAAGGAGCGATTTTGCAACTGAAGGCACCCAGTAGCCATGTTGGGAGGCTGTCCCTGCTCTTTTGGTGCAGCATCAAGGTGTTTCATACCGAGCAGGTGACTATATGCGTGCTCGATAAATGTTCATAAAATCAATGAGGTGACATTTGAGGTGGGTATTGAAAATGAGTGAGTTTTCCAAGAAGGCAGAGAAGAGACCTTTTTTTTTTTTATTTTTTAAAGAAACAGCATTGTTTTTTAAAGGTTTTTGCCATAGGGTATATGCACTTGCCAGAAAGAGACAGTGAGAGGGAAAGTGAGAAATTGCCGCCTGTGGGCATGGCCATGCCACAATCCCCTCTCCTCCATTCTCCTCCTGGGATTTTAGGCACACATGCATACACACACACACACACACCCTGTGTGATTTTCAAGCCACCAAGGTCTGGGTCTTGAACCATGGTTGGCCATGTGGAAGTTCAGTGTCCTAATCACCATCTACTGGCCCCAGTAAACAGTATTTATTACTTTAAGAGAGATTTTGCACTTGCCGGAGAGGCAGACAGAGAAACAGAAAACGAGGAATCACCTCCTGGGGAGATGGCCACACTGCAGTCCCTTCTCATCCATTCTCCTCTTGGGATCTTGGGCTTACACGCCCACATGCTTGGCCTGAGTTTAAGGCCCCAGGTCTGGTACTCGAACCATGGTCAACTATGTGGGAATCCAGCCATGTAACCATTACATGATCTGCTGGTCCCAGTAAACAGCATTTTAAAATAAGTATCTGCTGAAAGGCAGCTTGGGCCCTGATAGGACAGTCTTATTGGCCATCCTGATGGAATTGAGCTTTACCCCACAGATGGCGGGATGCTCTGGGCTAACAACTAATGAACACAAACATATAAATGAATATATCTCAAATGCCTATTTTTCTTTTCTGTCTCAAGGCCCAGTGCCTTAGTCGAGATTTATTGACTTGGCTATTGTAATAACCTTCTAATTAATCCACCTAGTGATCTGGCCTTCCTCCAAGCCATCTCCAAATCTAATGATGTCATTTCATACTTAAAATAATTCTATAACCCCCTTTGCTGTCAGGAGAAATTCCAAGGACATGGCACTGGCTCCTGTCTTATCTCCTGTTACCCTTGCATCCCCTCTGGTCCTGGTGAATACGGTTCCCAGCTCTGTCAGTGCCTAATGTCGTTTTATCTTGGCACTGGCTGTTCTCTACCCAGAATATTCCCCTCCAACTCATACTTCAAACACATCTCAAGAATAATCCCCTCTGGGAAGCCATCTCTGAGGCCAGGTCTGTGTTAGATCAATCTCTCCTTCTGTGGCATCCTAAAGCAGCACATTGTCGTGGAAAGCAGGCAAGCCTTGGGTGCCTCATCTGTCAGACGGGCACAACAGACCTATAGTGTAGGGTTATTGTTATGTGAGTTCTCCCATCTACTCATTACTGCAAACGCTCTGGGTTCGAATCCCAGTTCTACAGTTTGCTTGCTATACTTAACCTCTCAATTCCTTGTCTGTTTAAAAATGGGGTAGTAATATTACTTATCTTGGAGGACAGTTAGTGGGTTTGTGCTTGTAAGCAGCTAAAATGTCATGTGGTAAGTAACAAGAACTTTTGGGTCATCAGAAAAGTTATGACATATTTTTCAATGCAAAAAAAAAAAAAAGTGTCGTGACTTTTCTGACAACCTGATATGTAGAAGCCTAGAGAAGAAAGCCCAGCACACAACATTCACTCTATGATTGTGTTCTCTCGTGGTACGTAGCATCCTGTACTCTCGTCGTGGACTTGGGTGTCAATTTCTCCCATTGGACCATGACTTCCTGGAGGGCAGAGACCGTGTTCTGTGGTGTTCCATATTTCCATCGCCCACACAGGGCTCAACACTTAGGAGGTGCTCAGTAAGTTTGACAAGTGACAGTGAAGTGTCTCAGGAGCCTCCCCCTTCTCTTCATCAAATGAACAGTGGAAGATGTCTAGGAACATCTGCCTCAGGAGGCCCAAGGTGCTCATGGCACAGGGTCTCTTCAGGACACACGTCACCAACAGTGTCTATTAGGGAATGCTCCAGCTGGAGGGAGATGTGGGAACTTGTTTTGTTCCAGAGCAAGGCAAGATGCCACGCTAAACTGGAACTCTGGTACATGTTCTGGTAGGAGACCGGCTTCTATTGGCTATCAGGCATGGTTGGAATAGTGTTAGATACCAGGTCTGTGCGGCCTAAATAGGTGTTGGACAAGCTATGGAAGATCTTTCAAAGAGGAAATGTATCTTGAGTTCCAAACACTATCGTGTGAGCAAATGTTTTAGAATGCAATCTTCAACATGGCTGAATCTTTCATTTAATTTGAGAATTGCCTTTACATTGTATATCGGAATCAGGAGACTTTTTTTATAGGCTTGGTCCAGAAGGGCATGCTGTACCCTCTACAGCCACAGGGTGGCAGTGGTTGTATGTCACAGAAGAAAGGACTGGCAGAGGAACGGCCATTCATGCCCTCTCCTCCCTAATATGAATTGCAATACCGTGTGCGCGGAGGCTGAGCTGACAGGCTGTGACAGATGTTAATGGAACGCTCTCTGGCTGAGCTTATTCA